GGTAACATACTAAGCTCAAAGTGAGGAGAAAAAGCTGGCTATTAGGAGAGTGAAGCAGGACAATCAAGGATGAAATTGTCCCCAGCAAGAACTCGGTGTATCCACGTAATGGGAAGGTGACCAGAGTATGTGGACCGAAGAGTTCCATGTGCTGTGGAAGGAGAGGTAAGGCAGGAGTTGATCAGAGAGGGCTTTGTGGCCAGAATAAGGAGGCTGGGGTTTTATTCCATGTGTCATAGGAAGCCACTGGAGGGTTTCAAGCAAGAACAACATGATCCGGTTTACCTTTTAAAAAGCTCTATGGAGATGTTCAGTATCATTAGGAAATGCAAATCAAAATCATAATGAGATACCCTTGGCACCTACTAGACAATCATTAAAAAAAAAAAAAAGAAATGTTGGCAAGGAAGCAAAGAAACCAGAATTCTCATACATTATTGGTGGGAATATAAAATGGTGCAGCCACTGTGGAAAACAGTTTAACTTTTTAAGGAACTGTCAGGGTCAGTATTACTACATGACCCAGCAGCATTACTCCTAGGTTATACACTCAAAAGAATGCAGAGGGCACCTGGGTGGCTCAGTCAGTTAAGCATCTGACTTCAGCTCAGGTCATGATCTCATGGTTGTGGGTTCAAGTCTCGCACCGGGCTCTGTGCTGACAGCTCACAGCCTGGAGCCTGCTTTGGATTCATTGTCTCCCTGTCTCTCTGCCCCTCTCTGACTTGTGCTTCCTCTCTCTCTCAAAAATAAACACTGAAAAAAATTAAAAAAAGAACCAAACATAAAAATACAAAAAAAATATCTGGATGAATGTTCATAGCATTAATAACCAAAAGGTGAAAACAACCCAAATGTCCATCAAGTAATAAGCACATAAATAAGATGTAGTATATCCATACAATGGAATACTATGGGGCCACTAAAGGAATGGAATTCTGACATGTGCTACAACATGAGTCAACCTTGAAAACAAGGTCAGTGGAGTAAACGAAATGAAAGCAGCCAAACGCACAGGCCACATATTGCACAATTACATTTATATAAAATATCCAGAATACACAAATCCATAAAAACAGTAAGCAGACAATTGGGACCAGACAAGACAGGACAGGGGAGAGACTGCTTAATGGGTATGGGGTTTCCTTTTCAGAACTAGTTCTAAAGGCTCTGGACCCAAAGAGAAGAACTGGTTCCACTGTGACTGCACTAGATGCCACTACATCACACACTTTAAGATGGTTAATTTTATGTTATGTGAATTTTACCTCAATTTTTTAAAAAAGCAAGCTATATAGTTTTTGGCTTCTAGGACAGTATTGTACTCAATATCCAAAAACTTTCCTGATAACACAATACCTAAAAATGGTAGATACAATATGATACTATTCTAACATACATGCTTAAGCTCTCAATTAAGGATGAGAAATCCTCAAACACTGAAAAAACAAATAGTATCCAAAAACAGGAGAGGCAATAAAGATACAAAGCTTGTAAGGCACCCATCTGTCAAGCTCCAAATAACCTTGAGTGGCAGGAGACAAAGCCTGGGGCCTGAGTAAGATGGGAAGATGCATCAAAGACCCCCAATACGCAGTTGGGACACCTAAATGGCTACAACCAATATGTAAAATATGAAATTTATATGTTGGTCTCTGCCTGTGGTTTCTAACAGAGCTCCTAAATCCTGCGCAATTCCCTGGGTGATAGGAGCATCTTTAGTTCTAATGTGGTGACTCTTGGTGGGCTCCTGGATGGGGGGCTGCTCACCAGAGAGAGTAAACCATGCTTAGAAGCCTGAACGTCAGCCCCACCCTCCATTCTCTGAGTGGGAAGAGGGAATAATCGTCATGCCTATGTGATAATCCTCTAAAGATTCGAGGTAATAATCGACATGCCTATGTGATAAAGCCTCCACAAAACTCTAAAAACAAGGAGTTGAGAGAGCTTCCAGGTGGGTGAACACATCCATATGCCAGGAAAGCAATACATCCCAGCTCCATGAGTACAAAAGCTAAGCTCCCGTAGCACCTGGAACCTTCTGGACCTTGGACGTATCTCTTCACCTGACTATTCATCTGTATCCTTTGTAATACACTTTATAATAAAGCAACACGTGTTTCCCTGAGGTCTGTGAGGCATTCTAGCAAACTGTCAAACCCATGGAGAGGGTTGTGGGAACCTCCAGTTTACAGCATGTCAGTCAAAAGTCTGGGAAACTCAGACTTGCAACAGGCATCTGAAGTGGGGATGGTCTTGTGGGACCGAGTCCTTAACCTGTGCGGTCAGTGCTAACTCTGGGTAGTTAAGCGTCAGAATGGTTTAATGTAAGAAAAAAAAACACTTCACAGACTTAGTGTCATACGTGTTGTAAGAAGGGAAATAGTTTTCTTTTATGAGGGAATTGAGAGTACAAAGAAAAAATTCCAATTTTGGTCAAAAGAATGTTAACAATAGCACTCCTTGTGAGATCTCTATGTGTTACGGACGAAAAACATAAAAAGAAAAAGTTACACATTCAGTAGGCTTGGTCAGGTGCCACAACTCATTCAACTTCAATGGGCCATGAGTGGTATTCTACTGTTGATTTACACTCCAAGACTCCTTATTATTCAAGGCAACACACAGCCCTAAACTCTGGCATCAAGACAACGTATGAGCTTTAACGTTGCAGAACACAACCAAACATGTACCCAAAGATTGGGACACAAAAAGGCACTTCGGTGTTCTCCAGGATGGGGCACAATATAAAGCTGGATTCATGTATTTAAAGGAATGTTTCTGTGTACATTTTTAATGGAGGACTGTTTGCCACAGATGGATGAAGCAGGGAGAAAAGCCATAAATCAGGTCACTGCAGAAGCTCTGAAAGGCCTGGAAAGCCCATGTGGCACTAGAAATACTGCTGTGGCCATTTCTGAAAAATATGATCTGTCCCATATTCTTACTTTGATATTTAATTTAAAATTTTTAGTTAACACGCTCATCACACATTAAGTCATAAAATTTGTATCTGTAAAAGCTTTCAATTGTGGATTTTTTAAAGAGGACTACAAAGGAACTATAATTAATGATTAATTTTCCTTTTACTCTAATAGGATATATTAATATTACCTTTGTTAAGTATCCTCTTAGCTTTTTATATTATACATACAGAAATGAAGTCCAAGACCAAGAACCCCAAGAATCCTTAGTAAAATATGATGCTTCTATGCAAAAGATTCTCAAAGCAATATACTTAAAGCCACTGTGCCAAAATAATGATTTGTTTTTCAAGGAATACTATACTCATGTTCTGTAGGATGTTAACATACTCAACAAACGGGGATTGTCTGGTCAAATACGTTTGTAAATGCTGGGTTTAATAAAGACTCGTAGGCACCTTTACTATACTAATAAGCCCTAGGAACCTCCAAGAGGAGAAACATAACAGGCAGTTGGTTTTTGCAAACTTACTTGACCAGAGGTCATTACACCCCCATATAATGTAGTGTAAGTGGTAAATATGGTCTACAACCGTTTCTTAGAATCTGGCCTTGATTCTCTAGAGGTTATTATCTCAATGTCTGGTTATATTGTCCTTCAGTTTCCATCCCTTTAATGGTTTCCTTCTGCCCTCAGGATTAAAGCCCATTCTGGCATGGCATAATAAGGTCCTCAAATAACCTGTACAAGCCCAGCTCTTACCACTCCTCACTTGGAGCTTTATGCTCTCAAACTGTGCTTTAAATCCTCTTCTTACCCCTGTGTACCAGAGAGATACCACAAACTCAAATCCATCCCCAGTGGGTGGAGGGTGGTGTAGAGGTCCTTAAAAAGCGTTTCTGACTCCCTAGTGATCTCTGGAAGTAGGCTTGCATAGATAAAGCTTGAGAAATGACCTTTTAAAAACTTAAAAACCATTCTGAGCTCATAGGCATCACAAAAACAGACCAAGGCCTCATGTGACCACCAAACATAGATTTCTAACTCCTGAATTAGAGGGAAACATAATCCAGGACATCTAAGACTGCCCACAAGAAGTACCGCTGCAGAGAGGCACCTGGGTGGCTCAGTCAGTTAAGCATCTGACTTCAGCTCAGGTCATGATCTCAGTTTGTGGGTTTAAGCCTGATGTCGGGCTCTGTGCTGACAGCTCAGAGCCTAGAGCCTGCTTCAGATTCTGTGTCTCCCTCTCTGTCTCTGCCCCTCCCCCACTCATTGTCTCTCTCCTTCCCTCCCTCCCTCCCTCTCTCTCAAAAATGAACATTAAAAATATAAACAAAAACCCTCAGTGTACTCCTTGCCCCCACCCCTGATCCCAAGGTATGATAAATTCCTAGCAATCACAGCATCTAAAATGACTTAAACTGGTTGTTGACAAAACAATCTTGCTTACAAGACATAAGTTCTTTGGGGACTAAGACAGTCTCCTGGCTTCTATATCCTTTATCACATTGTGGTCACTCAATATGTTTGTTGTGTGCTTGGTTATAGAGACAACTTGTATATATGTAAAACAATTACTGACTGGGGCACCTGAGAGGCTCAATCAGTTAAGCATCCAACTCTTGACTTCATCTAAGGTAGCTGGATCTCACAGTTCATAAATTCCATCAGGCTCTGTGCTGACAGGTCTGGTTGGGATTTTCTCTCTCTGTCCTTCCCCTTAATCAATCAATCAATCAATTCTCTCTCTCTCTCCCTCTCTCTCTCTCTCTGTGTGTGCGCCCATGTTCCTTCTCAAAATAAACATTAAAAAAACCCAAAAACAATTAGCGACTAGTGGAAATTGTATATGACTAAGGCTATAATTGATTTAACATTGCTAAATTACTTATTGTGAGAGAGTAAGAACCATGTCTAAGTTACTTAATAGTAACATTTTTGATAAGGTCATCCTTGTAGGTCCTTGTTAAGTTTACAAATCAACTGAAAATGAACTAGCTAATATAAAAGTTATTCTTAGAGCCTTGAGATGGAAGACAGTGTGACTGACTGTCCATGAAACCATACTACACCTTCAGAAGCTCTATGTCTTCATGGTCTTCAGACCCAGGAATGTTCTCCATCAGTATGGCGGACATCACTCTCACATTCATTTTCACCATATCCAATTCACTGTGCAACTTTCCAATCTGTGGAGAGCAACACCATCACAATGTGACACATAAAGAATGGTGACCCTGTTTTCTGCTACCAAGGGGATATCTGCTAGTAGAGAAATCTCTTTTGCAAAATTTAGTATTTTCAGATTTATATAAATATCTAATTGTTTTAGAAATGTACAATCTGTTACCTTCTAAAAGGACTTGAGAACTCTCATAGTAAATCTAGAAATCATAATAAATCTAGAAATCTGCTTTAAGAAAGTTAAAAGTGAACGGAAAAAAGTCATACTAGAACCAATACAGAGAAGGGAGAAGGTAACCATCACAGGAACCTGGACAAAATGGCAGATGTCAGCAGCAAAACCAATGGGAAAAAAATGAGCATTTTCTAGTTCCCATGGTGTTAGAAAAGGGAAAAAAAAATAATCGACAGAAAAACTTTTCTTTTTGCACTAAATTCTAAGAGAAGTCAATCACATGGATTTTTATAGAATACTGAATAATAATAATACAAAGTATTAAATGATAGCTCCCTTATAGCAAAACACAAATGTGCGTCAAATAGTTACTGGTTATCCAGACCTTTGATAAACATAGACAACAAAGTAAATGTAATTCAGTTGGTACAATTAATGCTAGGAATAAGGCTACCACTTACCGAGCTCTTTGGAATGGTATATTATGGACAGTCTTACCAGGATCAACAGCAATTAGCTGGTCAATACAAGATCCATTCCACAGCCCAGCCTCCACAAAGACAACCACTAACCAAGCATTATGGTTAAGAGCTGGGGCTTTAGAATCAGACAGAATCCATAGGATTCATTCTACTTAGAACTAAGCCATGATAGGTCACAGAGTATCACTAAGCTTTAGTCCTCTCCTCTGTAAAGTGAGTGTAATAATGTGCCTCCATCTCCCATTGTTGTTAAGAACAACTGCATATAAAGTGTTGATAACTTAGAGTCATCAGTAAGTATAGTTGTCACTGTTGTTACCTGTTCTGGGACCAAGGTAATAGTAGCGCTCTTGGGAACAATCTCAGAAGGAAGAGCTGGTGCGGATGGAACAGACGGTGGTGGGTTCGAGGAGATCTGAGTGGTCTACCAACATGAAATATGGAAATATTACTATTGGAATTAACACAGCCACCCCAAGCCTGGCTTTTCTATTAAGATGGCTCAATTGCTCCTCTCAACCAAAATCCTGGGTAGAGGGTCTTGGCCCAGAGTCAATCGTCAAGTGTCCACCCTAGCCAGCATTTTGAGAATAGTGCTAATAGTGTGCCCATAATAGAGTAAGTATTCAATAAAAGATGGCTATTACAGTTATTAACTAAATGATAATTTAATAAAGTGCTCTTCGTTTATACCAAGGATCTACAAGGTAACTGACATGTGAGATTATTGCTGCCGTCTCTTTAGGTTTTTAAAAAGAAATGCTAAAACAATTCGTGTCGAGTCTTTTTAAGCCACGGCTGGAAGGGCATCTCCTTTCTCCACTAATGAAGGCTTCCCAGAGTCAATGCCTGGTTTCCAACCTTGAGTGGAGAACCTGAAGCACAGGGCTCAGGTCAGTGTTTTGACATTAAGTCCAAAAAGTCACCTAGAAATATTGTAAATATGGGGAATTTAATTTAGTTGACAGTGGAATATGCCTAACATGCTCCCATATTATATATACCCCAAATCATATACTGAGTAATTGAGTATCAAGGTCCTAGGCCACTACTATATTACGCCTTGGAAGAAAGAATAAAAGAGGTATGGTTAGCACACTCATGCAGGTAAAAAAGGCTGGGGCAGGTGGCTGGTGGCCAGGGAACAGCCTGTACAAGTAGAAGAGTTAGCCTTCAGGACAAAGCCTCCACGAAGATCAGACTTCTGGTATACATCTGACCCACTTTTCCATCAAGGGAGGACTACAATCTACAGCAGGGAAGAAGGACTATTTTCACAGTATGGAAATTACAGCAAGAGTTGAATTATAATCAGTACTCAAAGTATTACAAGTTCAAAAGCTTATTTGCAAAAATTATTTGCAAACTTGTGTTTGCAAATATGTGAATATCCAGAAACTCTTCCATAGACTCAGGATGAACAACAAGTTTAATAGATAGTCCCCCCATGGTACAGACTCCTGCCTGTCCAGCACAAGTTCTTTTGAAAACGGTCCCCTCTTCTAGTCTACCCTAATGATTTCCCTCTGGAGCCATCACGTTCTTATATGACCTCAGATAATTTGTTCAGAAGCAGCAGATTGACCCAGGTTGGTCCCTTTTCTAAGGTTTCTGAGCTTGGAATCTGAAAAAGTTAAAGCTCTAACATGAAAATTTGAGAGCTAGGTCTACTTTGCAAGAAAACCTAGTCTCTGCAATGAGAAGCAAATAATGACATTTGAGTGTTTGGTTCTCTGTTCTAAAGATCCACCTAACACCAACCTTCCTGTGGCTTGGTTATCTAGGAGATATGCAACAGCCTTCTTATAAATTCATCTTTTTAAGTTGGAGAGAGGCAGGGTTGTCCCTTTCTAAGGGAGAAGAGTCACGTAATATCTGATCTTATTCTGCAGCAGTTGAAGAAGGGCCTCCTACCTCTTGTCTTGCTGTTACAGCCTCTGCATCTGAGGGAGGAAACTGAACACCTTTCTTGAGAAGGTCAAGGTACACGTCTTTCACTTCACTTACATCCACACCTCCTGGGAAACCTTGTGACCAACTCTGAATTCAAGAGATGGTTACAGAGTTAAAACAACAGCTAAATCAAAATGCAATTTTTAAGCTGGAGACAGAAAATGAGAGATTGACAATTCTGTATCCTCCTAAGAGAAAGCTGCTTTTGAATGCCATGGACCAAAAAAAAAAAAAAAAGTTCTCAGAGACTACAATAAATTTTTAATCATCAGAATCCCATGCCTCAGCATTTTAATGAAACCCTGGAATAGGTGCTGTTGTTTTTTGCTATACTGAATCCAGAATAGACAGATTCTAAAATAGCATCAGTAGCTCCTTTGCCAAATAACTTTGAAAGTAGTCTGTTATCTACTCCGGAACAATTTCCCTATCTGTCAAATAAGTGTACACATTGCTCTCTTATTTGACATAAATAAAACAAACTGAGAAAAAGTTTGGAAATAACTAAAAATTCTTCAGAAATAGGGTACCATCCAATTCCAATAAATTATTATTACTTGGAAAATAAAAGAGTACAATGTTTTCTGGCTCAATCCTAGGTTTGTAAAAGGATCAGTAAATCGATCAGGAGGTACATAATTACAGTTCTAATCTTAGAGGTCTTCCATCCCATCAGGCATACAATAGACTTACCTTAATGAAATTCAAGATTCTATTCTGAATGTCTATGGGTAAGGTGTATCTGGGGTTCAGCAGCTTAACCAGACTATCTTTAACGAATTCCTTCTTCACAATCAGAGACTGGAAACTTGGACCACAGTTCTGCATGCACATGTCAATAAGCTAAATTAGAGAGAAAATTTAAATTTAACTTTATCTTTCTGGCAAAACCACCTCCCACATAGAAGGTAAAAATTGCTAAGTAATGATTTCCACCAGCATCCTAATTAAACAGAATTTAGTCTACTAAAATAGATGGTAAAGTGTTAAGTTCTAGGAATGTGAGGAAGTAGAAGGCATGATGTAAATGCTTAGAGGGACTGATTTCTTGGGAGTCGGGATACAACCATCAGAGCATTAAAATGATTAAACACCAATCAATACTTGGTAGTAAACACCAAGGGCCAAATGGAAAGTGCTACAGACACACGGGCTACAGACCAGGTGACATTTGTCCTAGTTTCTCCAGGGAAGTTCCGGTATATTCCTGGCTTTACTAATGATCTTTTCACTCCCAAAACTGTTCTGGTCTGGATGATAAATTACACAGTCATATTAGCTATAGACCTTTATGGACAGATAAATTAGGGTCAAGTGATAATTGAAGGCCAAGTGGTTTTAAGACTTTTGGAAAAAGCTGGTCCTAAGTTGGACTTTGAAAAATAGCTAAGTACAAATGAGTGTCGAGCTATATTCTAGGAAAGTAAATGGTATCGAAATACATACATACATTGATGTATATAGGTGACAAAGCACAGGAGATCTCAGAAGGAAAATGAGTACGCTGGTTGGAAGGGACTTGTTTCTTCATGTGGGCAGACTTCAACGGGGAGGTAGGGTGGCTAAAGTGTGGAAGAGCATCATACAGACGGTACAGAAATGCATGACAGTGAATGCAAAGAGGGCACTGCACTATGAGGCCAATGAAACATTCTTGTTTGTCACCATCATACCTCTATTCTGAACCTGAGAAGGTTAATGTGCACAAATACTCTGGGAAGGTGTTCGAGCAGCACTCAACACAGGGCACCTAGATGGACGGAGAATCCATTAGGGACCCATGAGTACAGAACCAAAGCACAAAGGCCTAAACCAGGATGATGTGGGTACGAGGAAAGGAAAGACTGGAAAGAATCATGAAGGCAGAACTTTACAACTGATCTCTGTCAGAAAGGATGGCTGAATGGGAAGTCGCTGTTACTCTGCGTGAGATTCATGGCCCCTCAGATGGAAATTTGGAAGGGACTGTAGTAGTAGGCTTGGTCTGGGGTAAAAATGAGGAGTTGAAATTTAGAGATTTTGAGCTTAATAGTACTGTGGACTGAATGTCTGTGTCCCTCCCAAATTCATAGGTTGACATACCAAATCCCTAATACAATGTGTAAGTGGGTCCTTTGGAAGAAATTAGATCACAAGGGTGCAGCTCTGAGTAAGGAGATTGGTGCCCTTATAAAAACGGACAGGAGGGGTGCCTGAGTAGCTCAGTTGATTGGTTAAGCATCTGACTTCAGCTCAGGTCATGATCTCACAGTGTGTGAGTCAGAGCCCTGCATTAGGCTCTGTGTGGACAGCTTGGAGCCTAGAGGCTGCTTTAGATTCTGTCTCCCTCTCTCTGCCTTCTCCCACTGGCACTCTGCCTGTGTTTCTGCCTCTCAAAAATAAACATTTAAAAAAAATGAACATTAAATTTTTTTTATTTTTAAAAAGGGACAGGAGATGATCTCTCTTGGCCACGTGGAGACAATGACAAGATGGCCATCCACAAGTCAGAAAGCAGACTCTCACCTGCTGGCACCTTGACCTTAGACTTCACAGCCTCCAGAATGTGAGAAATACAGGTATTGCTTAGCCGTCTGTGGTAGTTTTGTTACAGCAGCCCAAGAGGATGAAGGCCAAATAGATGGTGATGACATGCAAGTCGAGACATTTAACTGAGATACGTGCACACCTGCAGCTCAGAAGAGATGGAGGCCTCACGTGAGAAACCAAGACTGTGTTCAGGGAGCAGAGAAGAATGGCTGGAACACTAGGGTTCACCTATCACACAAGCTGGAAGAACACTCCATAAAGACAATCAAAGATCAAAGAGCAACTAATGGAAACTGAAGCATAAAGAGAACATAATATTGGTAAAGTCAAAAGAGCACAGTTTCCATAAGGATCACATGTCAAAACAGCTAAGACTAGGACATGAAAAATACTCAGCTAGGTTTGTGGATTAGTGCAATCACTAGTCACCTAGGGGAGCAGTGCGGGGTGTGTGCCCATTTTCAATCAAGCAAAATAAGCAGAAGTCAGTCAAAGAAAAAATGAGCCAGGCTCTAAAAAAATTAAATCTCTATTTTCCATGCTGCCACCTCTCAAGTTGAAGAGGTCATGGAAACCATAATGTGACCAGGAGAGGCATGATCATCTGTGCAGAAGAGCAGCCCTGAAAATGGACTCTCCACTATGCTCTGTGCTGGGTCACTGGAGTGCCAATACACAAAGAAGGGATGAGAGCTATAGTTTTGTTTTTGTTTTTTTTTTAATTTTTTTTTTTTAATGTTTTATTTATTTCTAGGAGAGAGAGAGAGGCAGCATGAGCAGGGGAGGGTCAGAGAGAGAGGGAGTCACAGACTGAAACAGGCTTCGGGCTCTGAGCCGGCAGTCAGCACAGAGCCCGACGCGGGGCTCGAACCCACAAACCGCGAGATCATGACCTAAGCGAAAGTCGGACGCTTAACCGACTAAGCCACCCAGGCGCCCTGAGAGCTATAGTTTTAAGAGCAACATGGCTAAGAAGACAATCAGAAAACTGAACACAGGTAGCTAGCTATCTGAAGCAGGGAAAATACTTAAAGCAAAGTAAAAACAAAATCCAAAACCTACTGAGGTAAATGAATATTTTAAAGCAAATTGTTTAGAGAAAATTTAAAGTTGCATAACAAATGACTTTTTGCTTGATGCATCATGGTGAGTTATCAGGTGAAATACAGAAAGGCAAGTACCACCAGTTCAATGGGAATTTATATAAATACTTCATTCAACCCATTATGCAGTCTCATTACACAAGATAGCCTCCATGTCTCACTTTCCCTTTTGGTGAAATGAATGGGAAGTTTCTTGCTAAATATTTCACAAACTGGGATTTTTATGTTTGGATCACTGAGATTTTATGGTAATGGGTAACATTCCCAGGAGGTTACATGCATAAAATCAGAAAGTCAACATGAAATGCTGAGAATGTTAACATCTGGAGATCACAAATCACAGCCCTTTGTGTTTTCCCATTGGAATCTACAATTTCAGAACTAATTACTTCTAGCTCACCTCTTTCATTATGTCACCGGTACCTCTTTCACCCCAGAGCCCACAGAGATAAGCAATGGAGCCTATTGTGCCAAATTGGAAAAATATCCTGCTTTTACATATTCTGAAATTGGGCTTTGGTTCAATTTAGGCATTCAGATCATGCTCAGATAACTTATCTTCGGAAATAGACACCATAATCTCAGGTGGGATAGAGAATCTAGAAGCCAAGGGACCAACAGACTTTGGTAGGACTAAAGAGTAGGTCTCACTAATCTCCTTTTGTGCTGGACTTGGCAAGTTGTTTATCGTTCCAAGCCTCAGTCTTCTCATCTGCAAGATGAGCCATAATACCTCCCTTTAGAGACTTCTTATAAGGCCTAAATGAAATATAATGTGAAGATATGAAGAGCCACACACATAGCAGGACCTTAATAAATGGTTAGCAATTTTGATCATTTGTTCCCATGGATAATTTCCTATCAGGAGAGAGTATGTTGATCAGCAGATAGAAGTATTCTTCTTAGAAAGACTGGAAGAAAAAGAGCTACTTGGTAGTTTTATTTCTTGCAATAAATTTCTAAACCAAACACAGTAAACCAGGCTTTGGGGCCATCCAGAGCTGCAGACCCCACCCAAGTATGGCCACCCTAGGGGATGAACTCACTCTCCAATGAGCTCCTAGAGGAATGGATACATTTTACACAAATTCTGAAGCCCCCATAACTCACCACCTAGGTGGTGTTCCACAAAGGCCTGTTAATTGATTCCCAGGAACCTGTTCAACCACTTTCCACTTGACAATAATAGTATCTTGCTGAGACTTATCACAATGGACCCTATCAGAGGGCTAGCCTCTGGCTAAGAGTTAGGAAGCTTGGTAACAAAATGCTTTTTAAAAAACCAATCTACTGGCTTCTTGACAAAACTGCTCTACCAACTGATGATAGGAAATCACAGTGTAGTCCAATCGCATCAAAGACCTAATCAAGGCTAACAAAGTCCACGGGGAACCCAAATGACACATAATTCAAAGAACATTTATAATTGACTTTGACAGGCTCTCATCACTTCAAAGTAATAAAATGGAAGTGTCACATATGGGGATTCGTTTTTAAAGAATTCATTGGTAAACATGTAATTGCTTTGACAGGCATTGGATGATTCTTTCTGTGACTAATATCTCTCATAATTAAGTCTGGCTTAAGTTAATATTAAAGTCTGTTCTGAAGCCATAAGCAACTCTGCAATGCAGTGAATAGTCAGATATGAAGGGGTTGGGGCAAATGTACATGAAGCTATCAAGAGTCAAAGGCCTATTTAAAGACAATCCAAGAAGTAGGCACCTTAATGAACTCTGACCTAACAATAGGCACTATTTTGACCCCCAACCCATGACGCCCTTCTGCGCTTATCCCTTTTTGGCACAGGTTTTAGATTTGCTTGTTTACATTCTGGTACAGAAAACATGAGGTGGAAGATGTACAGTTATCAGAGGTGGAACAGGTAATGGAAACAGGCAGGTAGCTGGTATAAGGCTTTAAATATCTTTCTACCTAAAGGGAAGAAAGAATGGGAATCCAAAGAGAAATGGAGGGCCAGAAAAAACACTCTAGAATAACCCCATCTCTTCCCCAGCTCATCATCATAAGAAGGAACCAGGATGGAGACAGGTATGGAGACAGGGATAGGAAACAACCACAGGGATCCAAGAAGGCTAGGTACAACAGAGAAAAAGACACATCCTGTATATAAACACCCTTAAGAAAGTGAGATAATACCACAGGCTGAAACACAGAAGGTGGCATACATTTATCTTCTCAAGCAAGATGGGAGTTTTCTTCCCTGAAACTCAGACACTGGAGCTGTGCTCACCTCAGCCCCATAATCCTCTTGATAATATACTCCCAGAGCCCCTAAGGTGAGGGTGATGCTGGCTGATCAGGGCCTTAACCTTGCAGCCTGGGGCTTGACTGAGGTAAAACAAAGGCATGCAGGAGAAATGAGATAGCCATAGAGCTCACTCTGGGGCAGCAGGCAGGGTTTACAAAACATACCTTAGTGAAAAGGGCAACTCACCGGAAGTGATTGAAGAAGTCCTATGGCCAAGGATGAGGGGGGAAAACAGGAACGCAACCAGTTAAGTGCCCACACCCAAGTCACAGACAATAAGGGTACAGCACTCTTTAAATCAACAAAGAGTACTCTCCAAATTATACCACACAGGAGAGCTTGGTTGAAATTTAATGAGCTGCCAGCACCTCAGAATTCTACAGAGCTGTTCAAGTAAGGTAAAAAGCTAACAGGGAAGCATTTTCAAGGCTTAAATTCTCCTCATGGGTAACACATAGACAGACTTCTTGACTGGCTCAGTGTTTACAAGTTTTGAATTACCAGTTCCCACCTCCTGAGCAGGAAAAGCTGATTTTCCAGGAACATGCTCTTTCCACAAAATTAAATGCTATTACAATCAGCAAAACCCTCTCAATTCTGCAATTCTTAGTTTTAATTCATATGATAAATAAGTTTGTTCTAACCTATTATCTCTGAATCTATCTATCTAGAGTTTTTTGTTTGCTTTGTTATTTGTTTTTTACTCCAAAGTAAAAATGTGACTATGGCTTAGGAAACCCTAAAGTCTTAACTATAACATTAAAAAGTACTTACTGACAAGGTAAGTTGGATTTCTTTATGATTATAGTTTTTGGAAATCCTTTTCTTCAAAGCTTTTACCGCATCTTTTGGCCTATAGCAATAAATACAGTGGAGTCATCAATTTAGGCATTGCTAAAAATAAGAAGTCTCTGAAAATCAATATGCATCATGGGAAGAGAAGACCAAGGTCCTGGTCTGCTGTGTGACCCTGGGCAAATTACTTAAACTTCTCACACCTGTAGGCAGACAATACCATCTACCCCTGTAAGAATCAACTAGAATATTTACATAATGGTATTACTTAGAAAGCACTACATGTGAAATGTATTCACATCCATATCCCTCTATCACTGCATAAAACTGGCTATTAGGAAATGTAGTTTCCAAAACAATGAAGGTTACCATTTTTAAGACTATTTCCTGAGCACCCCAGAGGGAAGGGGATGAAGGAGGAATTATAATTAAGTAGGTCAGCTTCTGATAGGCTACAATTTTACATTATAAAAGAACAATTACGTAGAAGAGGGTCAAAATTTACTTTGACATGATTGAAAGGTACAAACTTCCAGTTAGAAGATCAGTTCTTTGGGAATGTAAAGTATAATATGATGACTATAGTTTACATTGCTATAGGTATACCTGAAAGGTACTAAGTAGACCCTAAAAGCTTTCATCACAAGGGCAAAAAAAATTTTTTTGTTAACTCTATGAGGTGACAGATGTTAACTTATTGTGGTTAATCATTTTACAAAAAGTACAAGTCAAAGCATCATGCTGTACACTTTAAACTTCTACAGTGCTATGTGCTAATTATATCTCAATAAAACTGAAAAAAGGATACAAATACTTTTTGCATGTTACCTTCCAATTTTGTCTGTGTTTGCATGGGTAGAATTCCTGTTATAGGACAATTATGCTTATCTGGAATTATAACTATTATAAATATATAGATATCTATATTTCTAAAAATCATACGTAGAATCTAGGATTAAACTCTTAAACATTTCTAAGAATAAAGGTACTTATTTTTAAAGGAAACATTTTACTTTGAGATTCCCTTTTTGTATTATCAATGAAGAAATTAGTATGATCAGTGAAGAAAAGGTTCAGAGGAACCAAATATGGTAAACAAGAGTATAGGGAAAACACCATAAACACCTTAAAGTATAGTCAATTAATATAATCAATAATTAAGTGTATGTTTTCTTCATCAACAATCAACATAAACTAGTCTAAATCTTTTTGCTATCAGTTATAAGGTTAATGTGCACAGAAAAATTAACAGAACTGTATCCCTTATAACAACCTGTAATTCAGACTCAATTCACAAAACAGTTGACCTTGATTTTTTTAAAGCTTCAATTCCCTAAAGTTTGAAAAGTATAACAAAAGCACAACATTTAAGAACACAGCATGAACATAGGTGAACTGACACTAAGAAAAAATGTCTTATAAACAAGGAGAGGAAAAAAAAAAAGACTGCTAGATTAATTCCTGGTTAATAATGACAATTGCCCAGGACAGGTTACCACCAGGATTTTACTAGCTTCTGGATAATATTTTTCAGTTACAGTAACATAAAATACTGGCAATCAGGGCAGGGGGAATTTCTAGAGAAGGAAACAATTCTCCTTTCTTTGAAGGAAAAGAAATTCGAGCTTCATAAAGACAAAATTTGAAACTATTGAAGAAAAGGCAAAGAGAAAAATTATAATGGATTCTCAGGTATTCCACACCCTGAAATAAGCAACTGTCTTAATGTTTCAACTAGACACATCTTCAAAAGATAGTGGTGCCCAAGACGTGATGGAAACACTCAAGAAAACCAAAGAGTTTTCAAGAGAAAATGTGCTACAGTCCTGATGCTTCTTATCAGAGGCAAATGCGTGCACCACACACTGTACTCACCCATCGTGGGTAGTGTTAATTATGTCACAGATGTGCATAAACTGGCCCCAATCTTCAGTCTGAACTCCGGCAAATGTAGCCTTTTCTGCAAAGAAAAGCTCTTGTGTTGAGTCTGAGCTACAACAGAAGAAGAAATGTCTGGCCTTCCTGAAATAATCTGCCTCGGGTTTACTAGCAAGTACCATTACGTTTATATTACCAAAAGGCAAAGAGATTTTTTTCTGAGCAATTCCCAGTAATTCAGGAATCAATCAGAACTCAAGTTCAGACTGTTGCCATTACAGCAGTAATGGACCTATTAATAAAAGCTGCAGGGCCAGAACAGGCCAGCCAACCTCTATCTGCCTGCCTGTCTTTCTGAGGATAGGCACCTACTGAGTGGTGCACAGAGTGAAATGCATAGTGCAACGTACTTTACCTTATGCAACTTCATTTAACCCACTGTGATAGATGATGAAACACTGAAGTTCAGAGAAGTTAAGGAAATTACCCAACAGCCAGTACAAGGTAGAACTAGCACTCAAAATTTAAGTCATTTGGTGTCCGTTTTTATTTGCTTTTCTTTTTATTTATTCTCCTTGAGTGAGGGAGGAGCATACTGAGAAAGAGGTTAATCAGAACTACTGAAATGGTCTGTATCCTTGAGCATTAGAGCAAGGTCATTCCCAACACCTGCACTAACCAAAGCTGCACCAGGCAGACTCCAGTGCTTCTGCACCTAGAACCCCTTCATTAAACAATCAGATATTTTCCCCCTCCAGATATACCCTTTAAGAATACAAAATGCCATCTGGGGAGAGGAACAGAACACAACCTAAATGAGCTTATGGAAGGAGAAGATCCTCAGCATGAAAACACAAGGTCTAGGGGGAATGAAGAGAAAGTTAAAAAGGAGAATGAAGAGGCAGAATAGGGTTTGGTTGGGAGAACCCCAAAGCTTAGCCTGCCTCCATATCTAGGAAAGGAACCATCTGAATTTGGATTCCACTGACAGAGCTGAACAACTTTGTGTTGTTTAGACACCTACTATGGATCCTTCTGCCAGATTCCTTGCTCCTATTTCAAGCACTTCCTCCTACCTTCCCTTCTTCCTAGAAAACTCCTTTTCATCCTTCAAAAGCCATGGCAAAGTCAGTTTCTCCCTTTCTGTAAGTTTTAACTCTTTTCTTGTATTGCAAGGGTGCTATACTGTAGTTACTACATAATGTGTCTTACCTACGAGACTGCTCATTCCCTGAGGGTTGACACCATGTCTCACCCTTGCCTCATCCAGGTCCAGGCGTATAGCTGGCAGTCAGCAAATATTTACAGCATTAATAATTCATCAGCCCATGAAGACGCAGTCTGAATCTTTATCTGCTCAAAGTTCATTGTAATGTGCAACAGGGGTATAGGCAGCAACAGTTTAGAAAGCATTTCCCCCCTCAGTGATGGTTACTTTCATCACCTTATGAAAATGTGGGAACTAAGGTTCAGGATGAGTGGGGTGGAAATGGAGCTGCAGGCAAAACCGCCCAATCTGAGCCTTACTGTAACCACCTGGTTCTCAGGATTTTGTCACCCCAATAAGTTCCTGACATTATATTTAGCACGTTTGGTGGGCATCCATAGGCACTGTACCACACCCCGCTCCCAAGGGAGGTGTGGAGGCGAAGGGAGAGGGTGCTGGTAAAACAGCCCAGTCCCTGGTTTTATTCGGAGCACAGCCACAGATGAAAGGAAGGATTCAGGCAAATACCTGCGTGGTGCGCCCCCCCGCCACAGGCCTCCGGTGACCCCAGACTGCTCCTCCACTCCCCGCTTCCCTCACTCCAGGGCTGGGCATTTTCATTCTCTTTGTTTACCCAGGAAAAGTAACTCAGGTTGTTACGGGCTCGGCGCCAGAGAGAGGACTGGTTTAAAGAGACCTGCCCCGCACAGTGAAGTCACATCACTCCACCCCCCGCGAGCCTTCTTCCCTCGCCCGCGAACCGGACGGAGCCACGCCGTGCCCTCGAGTGGGCGCACGGTCCGAACTTTCCCCTGGCCCAGAAGTTTACCCTCTCCTCCCAGAGGCCCAAACACCCCACACCTGACTCCCGTGCGTGGTTCACCTGTTCGGTTACGCTCTCCAGGGAACACACAAGGGAGGCTGAGTTTGAGGGAGGGGTTCCGGAGGGAGTCGGCCGCAAAGAAATGCTTCGAAGGCAACCGGTGGGATGCGGGTGCCCTGGGAAAGTTGCAGGGGGGAAGGGAAGGATTTCCTCCAAGTTGGACCAGGCCGAGAATGGAGTCTACCGGGAAGGGGCCCCCGGGCCCCCAAAGCCTGCCCTGGAGTCTCTCCCCTCCCCCACCCCGCCCCCGGCTGTTTACCTATAAGGTGGCCCACGGAGGTCGCATAGGGATCCCGGTGGCTCTTCCCAAACGCCATAGTAGCCCCACCGAGCCGGGCCCAGGAAATCCGCCTCCACCGCTCTCGGGCTCCCGACTCCACCCGCTCGGTGTCCCTGGCTCCTCCTCTTCGCCCGAGCTCTTCCCGGGCTCGGCGGAGGCTGCGCGACCTGCCCGACCGCTGCGGGGCGCCCGACACCCGGCGCGGGGCTCGGGGGCGGGGCCCCGGGGCGGCCGCGCACCTGCCACGTGCGCCGCGGGGGCGCCGAGGAGGCGGCGCCACCAGCTCCAGGTGGCGCGGGCGGGCTGCGGCCGCCGCGTGGAGCCCGCCGGAGGGTGCGCGGGACCCCGGCAGGGCACCCAGGTGGGCCTGTCGCCCCCCGAGGAGCCAGCGGCCCAAGGGCCACAGCCTGGGGAGTAGAGACCCGGGCTCGGAGGCAGCCCCTTACAGGATAAGTTGATGCTCTGCTCTGCGCCTCTTGCTCCGCTTTGTAGAGAAGGAAATATGGGGTTAATAACTCAGATTTCAGGATTATTGTGAGAATTAGGGATGTAAACCGCTTAGGTCAGTGTCTGGCACCACAAAATAAATATTTAACCAATGAGCGAATGGAGTAACTAGAAATCCTTACTTTCCACCCTCACCCCAGAGATCTTGGGGAGGTGTGTTCCTTGTCCTTTAAAGGGGGTGATAAATAGGAGAGGGCTTGCCTTCGAATTTAGGGGCGCCCAGGACCCGGCGGCCTTTGTCTCGCCTGTATTTCCTGAGGACCACAGGGCGCCTCCAAGTAAGCTGTGGGCGCCTAACCCTCCCTCCGGGGAGTTGTGTTTGCCAGTAAAGCCGAGGAGAGGGGTTTTCCTTCAGCTCCGGCAGGGAGTGGGTTTGGCTTCAGGACTCCTTTGGAATGTAAATCTGAGCCTGAGCGGTCCAAGCCCTTTCCAGCTGCCTTTCAGCAGCAGAATTTATTTCCTTTTCCTGCGCATTCAATTAACATCTGATTAGCCATGTTAACAGTCTCCAGCGATGCCAGAGACTGCTAGAGTGGGGTGTCTCCAGGTGATGGCAGCTAGCCATAAACTGGGCTCTCTGTCCCTCCAGACCTTGCTTCCTGCAGTCAGCTGGGGCCAGGTCCACAAGCCCTTCTTTGGCCCTGGAAAGGGTGACAAGAGAGATCAAAGGCGGCTTGTTCCGACTTCTATCCTTAGTCTTATATATACATTTTTTTCTTGGTCTTATATTTTAAAACACAAGCCAAAACCGATTGCAACAGTGCCAAGGGGCTAACTTTTTTTTCCTTCCTATTTCTGTTATTAAAAATTTTTCTTGACCTAAGTGAGCTAATATCTGGGATTCTAAAAATGAGAATGAAACATTTTTATTGTGATGGTATTCCTTATAAGGGGGTTGATCCTACCTGTGACTCCTATTCTCCCACCTGTTTATCCAGAGTGAGTGACTATTTCAGATAGTGCCATTTGTCCATTTCCTTAGTCATAACTATAAATAGCCTGCTGACACTGCTGAAAATCTCTTTTGTGACATCACCAACCTAATCTCAGTTCTATGTTATAGACTCCAGGAGAATATTTCACCTTCTCTGAACCCTACCATCAAACAATCTTAAAGAGAAAGTCTACTTTAGCTTAGGCTGCTGGTGATATCAGAGGCCTTCCAACAGGGATTGAGAACTAGGAAGGAACCAACCATCTGGACAGGTCTTTTTCTTTTTTTTGAAAGAGAGAGAGAGGGAGGGAGAGAGAACCTTAAGCACGCTCCATGCTCAGCACAGGGCTGGACTCACGGCTTGATCCCACGACCTTGGGATCATAACCTGAGCCAAAATCAAGAGTCGGACATTCAACCGACTGAGCCACCCAAGCGCCCCTGGACAGATGTTTAACATAACTCTGCTACTTCTTATAGGAGAGGTTGTTTTATTTTTTTATTTCCATGTGTTATAGGATTGAGGCACTGAGAACAGGAGAAACAGCACCAGAAGTGTGTTGAGGACGTTATGATTGGGTGATCAGAGCCAGAATCTCAGCTATGCCTGGGAAGTTTTTCTCTCCCATGTGCACATGAGGGTGTTATGGTGCTTGTAGGCTTTTTCTTTTTCTGTGCTCTGCCACTTTCCTCAAGACCCCCTACTCCCCAGGGGTGAAAGTCAGCTCAGTCAATGTTAATATGGCCTGGGAGCAGGACAGTGGAATTCATAACCAAGCTAAAGTCAGAGAAAGGGAAGAATCCCAGGAAGAAACACTGGTAAAATTTCTGGATACAAGGAGCAGAACCCTCACCACACCACAATTTCAATACCAAAGAATACTTTCTAAACATTTATTTACATGTAAGTCATAATGCTAAGTGGAAGCAAAGAAAATAACCTTTATTTAAAACATGTGAAGTTGCACTACTAGGTATTTATCAAGAGGATACAAAAATGCTGATTCAAGGGGCACGTGCATCCCAATGTTTATAGCAGCACTACCAACAATAGCCAAAGTATGGCAAGAGCCCAAATGTCCATTGATTGAATGGATAAAAAAGATGTGGTGTATATATATATACACACACACACACACACACACACACAATGGAATACTACTCAGCAATCAAAAAGAATAAGATCTTACCATTTGCAGCAACATGGATTGAACTAGAGTTTATCATGCTAAGTGAAATACATCAGTCAGAGAAAGATATCACATGATTTCACTCATATGTGGAATTTCAGAAACAAAACATGAATATAGGAGAAGGGAAGGAAAAATAAGATATAAACAGAGAGGGAGATAAACCATAAAAGTCTCTTAAATATAGAGAAAACTGAGGGTTGCTAGGGGAGGTGGGTGAGAGGATGGCCTAAATGGGTGATGGGTATTAAAAAGGCCACTTGTTAGAATGGGCACTGACTGTTATATGTAAGTGATGAATCACTAAATTCTGCTGGAACCGGTACCACACTGTATGTTAACTAGAATTTAAATAAAAAATAATAAAAAATACGTGAAGTACCTGGAACTGGAAATCTATCTGAATGTAGTCTTCACAGTCTTGGAGGCAGGTAGAATTCACCTTATTTTTAACAAACATATAATCTGAAATTAAGAAAAATAAAGCTAATACATAGCTTGGCTACAGTTTGAAGAATAGCTGCCTGAGTCTGATGCGATTATTGCCACCAGCTGAATCTGCTTACTGACCATGCCCTCACCACCCCTGCCCTCCTTTTAAGAATCTGTTTGATTCGGGGCACCTGGGTGGCTCAGTCGGTTAGGTGTCCGACTTCAGCTTAGGTCATGATCTCACGGTTCGTGGGTTCAAGCCCCGCGTCGGGCTCTGTGCTGACGAATAGCTCAGAGCCTGGAGCCTGCTTCAGATTCTGTGTCTCCCTCTCTCTCTGACCCTCCCCTGCTCACGCTGTCTCTATCTCAAAAATAAATAAAAAAACATTAAAAAAAAATCTGTTTGATTCATAAGGAGACCTCTTGAAGCAGACAGAGATAGGGGAAGTCTTATACTTTGCTGGTGCAGAGCCCTGCTCTTCTTTCTGAACTTGTTCAAGAAGGCTAGTATCTTCTGTACCAGAACTATATACTAGCTGTGCTCTGAATACTTTACATGCATTGTCACTATCACTTAATCCAAAATGGTTCTATGAAACCAGTAATATTTCACTGTTTTGCAGATTAGAAAAACCAACGCAAACAATTTTTCACATAGTCACTTAGGTAGTGAAGGACTGTCTGATGCCCTTCCCATTAGCCAGCCTTCTTCCCTCCTTACCTTCAATGCACTTCTCTATCCAACACTCCTTTTTCTGACTGCTGTTTCTCACCATCTTCCCTGGGCTCCATTTTCCTTTTTAGCTGATCACAGTTCCACAGCCCACCTTTGCCTCTTTCTCTATTTTCCCCAGGGTGCCTTCTCTTTGTCCCTTCTCTACGAAGCCTTTTCTGACCACTCCCAAGAGAATTGAGCTTTACCACTCCTCCCGCCCCCCGTCCAACACATAGATTTCTCTCTTAGAGCCCACAACACTTGATAGTACTTTTTTTGTTTGAAATCTATTCCCTGTCTGAGATATAAGTTTCTCAAGGGAACAGGACCCTGTTTATTGGACTTGCTATCGAGGCACTTCACAGGCCTTAAGGAATGCTTATTGAACACATAAGTGACTCTTCAAAATCTGGAGCTTCTCTATTCTTCCTGAGATTGAATCCTTAATTCCCTCCAGGATGCCTTGTCAGAATCCTAACCCTAATATATTTAGAATTAGGGGCACCTGAGTCTCAGTCAGTTAAGCATCTAACCCTTAATTTTGGCTCAGGTCATGGTCTCACAGTTCCTGAGTTAGAGCCCCTGCATTGAGCTCTGTACTGACAGTGCAGAGCCTGCTTGGATTCTATCTCTTCCTCTCTCTCTGCCCCTCTCCCCGTCTCTCTCAAAATAAATAAATAAACTTAAATACACTTAATTAAATAAATAAACTTAAATACACTTATTTAAATAAACTTAAAATATATAAACAAACTATATTTAAGTTTATATATATACATGTATATATATCTATATATATATATACACTTATCTGCTTCCTCTATCATCTCAATATCCTACCTGATATTTTTGAGGAAGGCAATATTGATATATTAGAATCACATGGATTGCTTTAATGAGTATTGATACCTGTGTCCCACCCTGAGATTTTGATTTAACAAGCCTGGGATACATCCAGGGCCTCAAGACTTTTAAATGTCCCCATTTAACGGTACCATTATTCCACAAATAAAATATCTTGAAGTTGTCCTCAACTTTTCCCTTTCCATCAGCTATTTCCCTTCAGTGAACCCTCCATCTTGTGTTCTTCATCTATCTCCTTACCTTTTTTTCCTCTATGGATACCGCTCAATCCAATGGTTCTTAAATGCCACAAGCCTTAATACTGTTTAGGGATCAAATGGGACTAAAGCCTCAGTTCTCCCAAACACAGCCAAGACTCTATGCACCTGCAAATGTATTAATTAGCTTTAAAATTTATCTGCTCTCGGGGCGCCTGGGTGGATCAGTCAGTTAAGCGTTCGACTTCGGCTCAGGGCATGATCTCACAGTTTGTGGGTTCGAGCCCTGCATCGGGCTCTGTGCTGACAGCTAGCTCAGAGCCTGGAGCCTGCTTCGAATTCTGTGTCTCCCTCTCTCTCTGACCCTCCCCTGCTCAGGCTGTCTCTCTCTCTCTCTCAAAAAAAAAAAAAAATAGTAAAATTTACCCGCTCTTACACAATAATTTACCTATTTTTTTTGATGTACAAAGATCTATGTTGACTTCATTACCACAGTTATTTTTAATATGTTAAGTCTTGGCAACTCTTGATTCTGGAAATTAACTTCAAAGCTCAGCCTTCCCTCCCTTCCTGCTCTTGGGACCACCTGTATCAGCTTCCCAGGAAAGGTCTTCTTTCTCTGAACCCCATGCCAAGCACTTCTTTATTTTGTGTCTATGAGCTTTTGGCCAAACTAGAGACCTAGGATGACCATAGAAAGGCATACAAGAGTGGTGGAAGCCAACATCTGTTGACCTTTTACTGGGCCAGCCACTATACAAAGTGCTTTTGGTATCTCCCATAAACCTCATGATCCTGTAAATTAAGAATCATTCCTGTTGTACTCACTTGCCTAAACTTACTCAGAATCAAGAGGTGAATTTGGGTTTGTTTCATTTCAAAGCTCGGACCCTTTTCCAGTTTCATCTTACTGCCACCAGACAAAGGATCAAAGTCACTGATTTCAAGGAGGACCTGCAGCAATCTAGTCCACGGCTTCTCATCTGCCAAGTAGGAGTGTGTTGATCAACTTTAAACATTTACCCTTCCTCTGATACTGAACTTGAAACCACCCAAATGCTTTCATTAGCTTCCCTCATCATCTTTACAATTACGGATCTTGATTGAGATCTGGGATAAAAGGGCATCTACTGGCTAAATCTGTCATCTTGAAGGATTCCTATGAAGCTTAAAACCAGTTTTATTTGAAACATAAACTGAGGGAACCAATATTTTCATAACCCAAGCCAACTCTCTTTCTCTGTGGAGTTCATAGTCTCATCAGTTCACACTTAACTCACTTAGGGTTTGTAATTTAATTCCTGTGTGTTCTTTTGAAAATCTTGTTCGGATTTGCAAGTCAGCTCACCTGGGTTCAAATCCCAGCTCTCAGGTGATAAAAATAATCCCAACCCTTCTTAGGGTTCTTTAAAAAAATAATGAGATGATGAATGTAGGCACTTAAACTGGTGTTTGGCATGTAACAAAGCTCAGTATATATTAACTAGTTATCACTTTTTTTAAAATCCAGCCTACCTGATGGCCTGAAATACTGAGGCTTGGCAATATCTCCCTGAACATCATTTTAAATATGTAGGTGTTACCTGTTTGGGAAAAGTGGGTCCTATTAGCACCCACTAGCATTTTGCCAG